AATCTGTGTGACCACCGTTCGCTTTTTTCACAGCACGTAATCTTGAGGGGTATGAACATAAAAGGTTTTCAAAAAGTTCTGTGTCTGTTTCCATGTTTTGCAAAACATCGATGATATCATTTTTCTGCTCGAACATCCTGAGAGAGAATATATCGAAGAAGCGAAATCCTGACGTCATGTGCAATAGGAATGCAAGGAAGAAACTGTACTTGTCTGATATAAAATACCAAGGAATGAAATAGAGAGAGAAGTGCACCTCAACATACCAGTAAGAAGAATAGAGAATACGTATATTTTATACACAAAAGTCAGCAGAACGCAAGAAAAGAGAGGTATATATGTGTGTCTAGTGGTGCTCACAATGATACTGTGTTGATAACAACGTTCGAGAAAAAAGAAAACTGTTGTGACCGTAACAAAAGTAAAAATCATAACAGTCGGAAAAATTGTCTTATGTGAAATTTTTGAAATTCACTTCGTTCTATATAGGTGACAATAGTCCATCGGATTATTAACTGTACCTGTTAACCCCATTTTTCACGAGCTTTCATTTGGTATAAAATTCAATATTGATATCATTTGTCATTGGAGCTATACCCTCCGGACAAAACATTTCTCGCAACCCTGTATATATACGTCTGAAGACAGTGACCACGACCTTTTAAAATTATTTTTTCATTTGATGCTGTAAGTAGCGTGAAAAATGAAAAATTTTAAAATTTTTTGACACACTTAGATTTTGACACTCTGAGATTGACCGTCTAGAAAAACTACACACTTTTCGATGCTGAGTGAACGTTTAGGCCGTTTCACACCTAGTAACGCACTTTTTTTTACAGTGTAACAACTGGTAATTAATGGTATCAGTTATTAGAACATTTTGATGAAGAAAATTTGGTGAACAGAAAGAGCTATTTCTGACTTATTTTACATATCGGACATCCAGTGGTGGTACGACTGAGGGGTGGGAGGATGCTTTCAATACTTTCAAAAAAATTTGTTCCGATTTTCCGATTTACTCCCCTCCCCCATGCTCCGGACCTCTTCGCATCGTGACTTATCTAAGTAAAATTGGGCGTAGAGTATGATGAAGAAAAGCTACAGAACACAAAAGCACTAGGGAGACTATATTTTTGCCTTCGGTTGCTGGAAGTTGGTCAAAAGTATGCAATAGTAGCTTCCAAAGGTTTGGATAGATAGTGGTTGCGGTTAAAACAAAGAAATAATTTAAAGAAATACCGGGTAAATTGTAAGGTTTTCCACAGTACAAAGCGATGTACCCAGTATTGGACCAAGAGTGAGCCATGGCTCATCCTACGAAATTTAGATTTCTCAAATTCACCTTGGGAAAAAAATACATTGATTGAAGACAGAGATTGCAATATTGGATAAGAACTTTTATTACTGCTTAAAAATATCGAACTTCACAGCTCAGCAAGAAAACATGGAAATATGCATAAAAAAGAATTTCACCCATTCCTAAAGTAAACTCTGGTACGTCTGTGGTAGTGTATATAGAGAACTGTGTCTTATTGTTTCTGTGACATATCAGGTTACATTCAGATTCCACAGTGGAGTGTCCCGTTTGTTTTTCCTATTTGAATAGGTTTGAATGACAGATTAATTTATTCATGTATTAGCAAAGCTAATTTTGTACGTGAAACAACCAGGTATGCAACAGTCCTAGAACTGGTGTTTCGGCATCCGGGAAAACGTGTATTACTCGGTAATTAAGAGTTGCTCAGAGTTGTGAAACATCTCATTTTTTAGAGAAATGTTTGCCCTACAAAACTTCCTGGTCCAAACAAATGTAAGGTTAGTTGTATCGAAAGTACGTTCTGTCAAAAACAGTGGAACTATTCCCTAACAGTTCTTGTGTTTCTCAATACTTGTATTTTCAACGTAGTTAATTTTAAAGTTTTTGGATCAGTAAGTTTTATAGAGCACATAGTTCTCTACAAAATGAGATGCTTCGTAACTCGGAGCAACTCTTGATTACCGAGTAATACACGTTTTCCCGGATGCCGAAACACCAGTTCTAGGACTGGTGCATACCTAGAAACAACTTTTTTATCTTTATAATATGAAACAAACATCATCTTATTCATTGGTCGACAAAGCTCGTAAAACATTTTATGAAAGCGATTATGCTGGTTTAGTTAACGATAGTGATATAAAGTATTTATATAAACAACAAAAGAAAACAAATTCTTTCGAATGATAAATGTTAGACAGAATATGTTTAAGGCGCAGCTAATGCAAAAATGAAGTTCCAAAGATGAATCGATTTTACAAAGAGTAGCGTTTATGAAACATAGAAAAACTCTAGGAACAAGTTTCGAAAATTTTTTTAAGACATCTCTTCGATAGTGTCTCATGGGCTATCCTTTCATGTACTTAGTTGTTAAATGATTTTTTCATGCTTCAGCCTATATTGAAACCTTTTCAGCAAGGCAAGCGTTTTTTGATACCTCAGTTTTTGACTTTTCTCTCAATGAAGTTCTACCAGAAAGATGAATCTGATGTTACTTCTGTAGTCCAGACTATGTTCTTTCGAACTAATAGACTCACTGTGGGATTAAGTGGCGAAGTATTTAATACACAAAAACCGCTGCCAAGCTTCGTTAAGTTTCCTATTAACAGACATTGTAGAGCTTTTCAAGAGCTATTTTTCTATACTATAGACTAGTTGCATCCTCTCTTATTACTTAGTCTCCATAAGGTTATAATGGTACATAAGCACTTCAAAATGTGTAAAATCGTTTTCTCTATAAAATGTGATGATAATCAAGCCAAAAAAGCAGTGGGCCAAAATCAAAGAAAAGCGGGTTCCTCCTTTATCGTGATAAATCATAGCAAATTATAACAGGATATATCTATTTATCGACAGGTATCGCGATAAAATAGATTTCTGCGATAAAAAAGTTCTTTTTCGCGATGAACTTTTTCTTTCGTCATAGCCGAAAAATCGGTGACGGGTGGATAGTAATATCATTTATCGAAAATGCCCTTATGAACAAAATTTCTACAAGCAAATCTTTCTACTCTGTTTCGCTGTTTTAGAAACTGAATATCACCCAAAAAACAATGATAGCACATTATAATCATTGTTTTGTTAGGACTTTTCTCTTCTTACTTGGTATATTACTATTAAAGAAAAAGTACAATAGCAATGATCGAACATGATAATATGAAATATTAATAGTTCAGAGCATGGAAATGCGAAATGAATGATAAGAAAACTCAAAGTTGTTATTGTCACATATATCGAATATTGAATTTGTGTATAATTGTTGAATTTTTCAAACCGCATGAATCAGTAAATCCTTAAAGAACAAGAAATTGTTGGATATGAGTTAGTCATCATATTAAGGTGAAAAAAAAATATTTTTCTTTGATTGTGTAATAACGTATCGTTTAAGAACAGAAAAAATAAATTTCGTAATGACTAGGTATGCTTGTTTAATATATACCGTAAAGATTAGAAATAAGCATTACATCACCATAAAAGGTAAACGGAATGCTAGATCAATAGAAATTAATGATGAAATAATTCGTGACGATACCTATAAAACGTAAAGACTGATTTCACATGAATGCATACATTATGTTAGTCAAGGAGAAGGTCATATTTCAAGTGTAAGTTTCTGGTTACTTAGGATCGAATGTATTTCCCGTTATGCATAATCATTGTAATTGGGATGAACGAACTCGTTTTACTCTAACCATTTGTAAAATCTACTTTAGACATGACGGCTTCACAAATTCCAATACTATGTAAATGTGTCACATGTGACATTGAGCTTAGTGACAATCATTTGGGTATTCAGTGTTCTCGTCAGCATCATTATTGTCGTGATTGTTGTCAAAATTTTGTTACATTATTTTTTTCTGAACCACAATTACATATTCCATTAACATGTTTAGAATGTAGTGAGAAGATACCAGAATATCAATTTGAACGTCAATTAACAGATGATCAATTTGAGAAATATCAATCAATAATGTTAACAATGCAATGGTGGGATGAATGTGATAAAGAGTATTTAGCTCATTGTCCTTACTGCCAATATGTTGAAATACGTGAACATGATAAATCAATATTTTTATTTTGTAAATATATACAATGTAGACGAGTTTCATGTTTAGTATGTAAACATGAATGTCAGACCGTAAACGATTATATGGATGAGAATATTGATGATATTTTGGGACACTCTAAATGTGTTGAATTAAAACATGACAAGAAGATCGTAGATTTAGCTATTATAAACGGATCCATGATTCCATGTCCAACGTGTGGTGTATCAGGTATGAAAGATGATAATTGCACTCATATGACATGTGGAAAATGTTGCGAATACTGGTGTTATTTCTGTGGACAAAAGCAAGAAGATTGTGATGTGCCAGATGGCCATGATGTGTCTTTATCTAATCATAATATTGACTGGGATTCCAACTCTCAACGATGTCCAATGTATTTAGTGTCTATCAAAGAATTTGATCAACGATGGCCAGATGATGATTACGAATGTTTAGAGTATTTTCATCGGTATCGAACATTAACTTTATTATATGAAGTTTGCAAAATAATTGGTGAAGAGAAAATGAATGAAATTGATGAGCATTTTCATTCACTTCATTCATGTAGTTACACAATGAAAGAAATACAAGAAAGTGGAAAAAGCATATTAATTGATTATGATAGAGAATATCAAGATCAATGAGATTTTACTATTTTTTCAAATAAAACTAAATGTTATACAACAGGAAGTAACATGAGACAGATAGTACTAACATTTTACCTAAACTAAACGCTTCAGAGTTTGAATCAACGTTTTCTCATACTATAGACACATTACATTCATATTAGTTCATTACGTTCATATCTTTCGACGGTTTGTTCTCAGTTATTATGTCATCTAAACTCTTCAACTGTTGAACAAACGAGTTTAAGTTGTCCCATTTCATATCATCGAGTAATCTGTTCTTAAAGAAATTGTGCCAATATTCCACATCATGGGCAATGGCTAGTGCTTCTGCTTGATGATCGTGTATATTCCAAAAATTAGGTGGAAATGGCGCACAATGCTCAATAAAATTTTCGTATAAATTATCAATAAACAATTGATCAGTGCATTGGCTTTTTATTTGATTGAAATAATTAACTGTTTGACTCACTGGTGCATAAGATAACAGATCAGAGTTAGATTGTCCAATAATTTGTTTGAAATGAAAATGTGAACCGGTTACGTTTATTCCATGAAATATTTTCTTGATACTTTCAATCGAGTCACGGTCAAAATCAGATATAAATAGTATCGGATTCCAGTCGGGTACTAGACGTGATAATTGAGTGAAAAGTAGTTCATATGACAGAGATGATTTTATCAATAGAGCGTATACAATAGGTATAAAATGGCCTTGAACGTTGACATAAAGGACGCAAAACTTTGAAAATGGGTGAAGATTGATCGATTGACTAGAATCGAGCAGGAAATCGAACGAATCGTTAAGTAGGTCTAATTGATGCTTCGTAGAAAGTATTACTACTGAGTTAAAATCATGTATGAAAAATTGTTCATCTGCTCGTCTTAACGCTAATGTATCATCATTTTTATTGCATTTGGTTCGATGATAATAAACAAGTCGTTTAATGTGTTTCATTTTTTTGAGTTTTTCTTGAGCTTCAATGGATATTTTTGATGCATGGTTTGAGATTAACTCGTTAATGGAATGTTTTTCAATCGATGAAGCTATCTGTCGTAGATTATTATATACTTTTCTAATTTCTAATCGTGAAGTATTGCTCTCATGATTGTGCTGCTGTTGACTGATAAATAAAATTTTGTTCGTTGTTATCTCCGTATGTATTCGTGCGTGACATTTTATTGATGGATTTCTCGAATATTCACATTTCCAATACATTTTCTTCTTATAAATAGCATCCTGAATGTAAGAATAATCTTGATAGATGAGAAGCGGACTCTCACGAGATGTACGCAGAAAGTATGGTTGATACTCCATCGGCATAAGATTTTCTGATTTGAAATCAATGTTGTTCATATCTTTATTTAAATAAATTTTTACTAAAGTATTGTGACTCATTCAACCATGAGCTCAATTGCTTAGTAGGCAACTTGAATAAATGTTATTCTCGAAACACCTCCTACTGAATGCTTCAAGGTACTTTGAACTATACAAACCATGCGCATTAATTTACACCTGTAGGCATTGCATGCTTTCTTCTTTGTTTTTCTGTATTACATAAACATATTGTTTGAAAGAATAGACAAAGCAGTACATTTATTAGTTTCACCTACAAATACAATTGTGATTATTTTTATCTAATAAGAGTAATGTGGCTTGTCTAGCTAACAGCCCCCCTTTTTCACTCTTTTTCAAAACGTTATTGCAATAAGCTACAAACTTTATTAATTTCCCACAAAATGTTTAACCTACTTAATTTATCTAGTTGCCATTTTAGATTAGTTGTAGCTTTATTGCAATAACGTTTTGAAAAAGAGAGAAAAATGGGGGCCGTTCGCTGGACAAGCCGAATGATGTGTTGAGATGAGAAATGTGAAAAAGATGAATCGCTTACTTAGGAGGTGGACTAGGTTGTGCATTATAAAAGCTATATACAAATCCTCCTTGGGAGACGTGTAACTTTTAATAAATAGTAGAGAAATACCTGCAGTGTTGGATATTCAATAGTCACGACTTGAGAACTTTAGGAGCTTTTGTTTAGGGAAATTTGTTGAAATTTTCATTAAAACTATTTTTACGGATAATCTCACTTTTCGGCTTTTAAAATCTACCAAATTCATTAAACAAAATTTACCAGTCACTGTCTATTTATCCACACTACCACATTGAAACTTCCAAATTCAAGATCTTGACTTCTTAGTGTTTTTTCCAAAATCTCATTGCATTTCTTAACCCATGATATAAGCAAAAAGTCGAGCATAGAAAGGCACGCATAGGTTTCGGTTTTTCATTGGTTAGCCGATAACAGATAGAACAGAAATCGATCATAACCGATGACGTCTATAGTCTGCTGACATAACATGTAGTCAACTAAAATTATAGTTTTAGACATAACAATAGAGGAACAAGCATTTGAAGCACTACAACGAGATATTTATTCAACTATTATTAACTATAAAATATGGTTTCCCCATAAATCAATTGTCGCTAAACGATTCAACATATTATTACGTGGTACAACTAACATGTCCACCTTATTCAGTAACAAATTACCATCTTATGCGTTCACAAAAATACAGCTACATATCACCGAACATCCGTGAAATAATCAGAAAAGGACCTAATGATATCAGAAGAACTGGTCAGAATATGATACCATTAGGTCATGACGTCAGACGAAAATAGGAAAGTATATGTCATCTGCTGCTGGCTGGACTAATGACGTCAGTATAACAGAGAGGAAGAGAAACGTCACTAGAAACATATCACTTCTTTATAACACACAGTAGGTATTTTTCTATAGAGGAGGCAGACATATGCTGTAGGAGTGGTATGAAAGCCTATAAACACGTTCTTCTATAGCTTTTCGAATATGCTCTTTCTAATGATGAGATTCTCAGTACTCAACAGTAATTCCTTGTGGGTTTTCTGGAGACCGGATCTCTGGAAAACCCATAAAAAATATTTTTGCATTTCGAGAACCTCACTATTCGAAAGGTCATATTCGAAAACCTATAAAAATGTGTTTAAAGACTTGTGTACTATTGCTCAAATAAATATCCAAATTCCTAAGCAAAATTTGCTGCGGACAAGCTTTCAAGTCTATAATTCAATTTGATCGAACAAATTCCATACAACGTTCTTTATAGAATTCTGTTTTGAAGTATACATATTTTGATATCAGTAGATAGCTGAGGATCTGTAGATTCCGAATATGTGCTTTTGAATCGTTTAACATAGCTAAGCGAACAAATAATCAAGATTTCATGCGTATGTGTCACTTTCCGTGATATCTGTTATGCACCTCTTGTGGCCTGGTTTATCCTCGAACGATTGGATATCAAAATAGACATTTATACACGATTCGATAGAGAATTTCAAGAGCTATATTTTGCACTATTTATATTTGAAAAACGAAAAGTTTCGATTTTTCGCCAAATTTCCGCTTGGATGCCCACTGTGTAACATAACATATGACGTAAACACAAGGATGAAACGAAAACGACAGGGACTACTTAACAATAACAAATAATAAACTCTGTTTTCATACTGATGAAAAAGCACATAATTCTTTGTATGTCAGTAGATATTAAGCATAACCTTGTAGATCCAAGTACGTAACATAAATTATTTATTATCCGTCGTCGAATCATCATCTGTTTTCATACTTGCATTAACTAATACTGAATTTCGATTAATACCTTTGCAACAAACATGCCTCGCTCATCGGATGTAGCATTCGATACCCCATACTCATGACTATAACGAGCATCGTACATTTTTCCTAGAAAATACATAAGTACAATGTTATCAACAAATGTTAGTTTTTAGTGGCTTTCTCTCATGGAAACGGCCCATTAAAATATCCCGAAATAAAGTCGAGAAAACACCTTTCTACAAAGCGACAGGCAGATTACATATAATTTTCTTGAGTGATGGCCTTCTTCCACTTTTTCTCCTTTCCTTTGAAACGTTGCAGAAAAACCATGAAGTTTATATAAAAAGTTTTGTTTTTTTAACGAATCAAAAGCAACTCCTCGAATGATCACTCAAAAATCAGTCAGAAACACAGACTGCATGTCATGGCGAGCGGCCAAGAATTTTTGAAAGTCACACAGCATGGATCTGCCACAAGCATGGCCACGGGCACGTAACGTGTCCTACCTGTAGCAAATCTCTAGTGGTCATCGGAAGTGTGGAACGTGTTAGTTCAATTGAGTTTTTAGAAGAAAAAACTTCACGTAAATGACAAACATTTCTAAACTCAGCCAAATTTATTTAATTTTTGTACTATTCTAAATTTTTCTCAATCACAAATCTCTAACAACAATGCTGTATGAGTAGGAAGATATGCCTGTTACCGTCCAGCGTACTCTGAAAGTCCTCATGTGTTTACTTGAGTCAGTCCTAAACGTAGTGATAAGGATATTCAGTTCTCAATTGCTAAGAATTTTTACTGATTTTTTCATGGGAAACTCGCCTTGTCTATAACCTTATTTATTAAAGCGAGGTCAACCGCTGAACTGTTCCAGGTCGACGAAAACTGGCATTTAACAGTCATATAATGACTCTTTTTTGACTTTGAAATAACAGTGAGAATAATGCCAGATTATAGTCAATGTCCGACAAAATGGCATTTTACGGTCACCATTAAAAGGCATTTTCGTCCATTTATTAGACCGCGTTAACTAATGCCAAATAAATGTGTCTGTCACATGTCCGTTTTGAGGCAGCTTTTTCTCCATCTGAAAATGGCAAGAAACTGATCATAAACTGGCTGTTAAATGCCAGTTTACGGTCACCAAGTCATTCACCGTTTTATTCTACCGTCATGGCTAGTATAAATGACTCTGATTTTCCTAAAATAATTTCGAGTTTTTCTCTTCTTCAATTATACGAGTCATAGAAACTTGCCTCGAAGTAGTGGTCTATGGCTCTTGGATCGGTGCAGGTGATAGCACCTTAAGTTTCAGAAGATATGCTTTTGACATTTTTTAACGGTCTAAAAATTGATATT